ATCTTCGTACTCCTAATTCTTGAATATCGAGTCTTGATTTCCTTCGTTAACCACGTGAAATATTTATGTTGTACTCGCCTTTCGTATTTTAAATTAGATAGGATTCAACAAAATCAATGTAAGAAACATCTAAATGTTTACCTAAATTTTCACTAATTCAGTAGTATGAAACATGTCGTGTTTATCCACTCTCCTCACAAGTTTCATCATCTAAGGATTTTGCAGGATTAAGTTCAAGTAACAGCCGTTGTTTGATGGAACTGAATTATTTGATCTTTCCATTTAAATAATTTTCGTTTTAGTGGGAATTTATTATTTCTTAAATAATTTTGTTATTCTGTTAGTAACCAAATAAACTAATGCAATGAATTGTGTCCAATGCTTTAACCCTAAAAGTAATATTTTTTACTTTTTTTTTTTTCACATTTAACATTTTCCTTTTTCGGACACTTTGTGCTAAACTGAACAAGTAACGTTCCTTTTTTTTTTTTCCAATTTTTTTATCCTTTCATTCCCTTTTGCATATTATACCTATTCACCCCCCTCTAGGTATTTTTAGGATCGAACTGCGTAACTTTTAATTTCAAATCTAAAATCATAAATAGGGCAATATTGGTTTTTGAGTCTCGTAGAACTTTGTTAAAATTTGTTTGCATTTTCATATCTGAAATTTGATTTATTTAGATTTGTTGAATACTCTTAATAGGAATTTTCTTGAATATGGATTGATTTGAGTTACAATTTGGAGCAGAGATGGGAGAACTTTTAACTTAAAAAACTTAGCCTCTGTTTGTCCACCATTATCTAAAAAATTGTTTTCTAAACGTGATTATGATTATTAGAAATTGAAGGACAACAAGCATCGTATTTAGCCCCTGTTTGTCTACCATTAATCCAAAAAATTGTTTGCTACAGTAAGATTCTCCACCACACATTCACCCAATAAAATATTCTACACATAAACCAATAAAATTACTTTAAATTTCAACCACACATTCTCCAAAAAATACTATTCATTACTCCATTTTCCTCTCCATAATGGTAGATAAACAGGCTCTTAATAGGATTCGGGCAAACCTAAGCCAAAGCCCAATCCTGCCCCCTCCCTCCGTCCATGGGTACAATTTTTAAATTGTTATAAAAAACTAACAATAATTATTATAAAATGTGTAAAACGGTATTTTAAAAAATACAATAAATTAAGCAGTAAAGTGAAAATAGTTTAATTTTGTAGGTCGGGTGCGAAATATAAGGGAAAATTAAGCTCAACCTCTTAAACTAACTAAATTGAATAATACAATTTTAAAACTATTTAAACAATTCAACCAGTAATTAATACATCCTAAACCTAAAATCCAATCTTCATTGAGTACCGGACATTGGTACCGATGGAAACGTCGGAATCTCCACGTCCGACGACCAAACTGGTCGGAATCCACCACTGGCCAACTCCCCACCCTTGGACGACCTCACCTATGCCACCAATTTGTACCAAAATACTAGCAAAAAACCTGAATTGAATCCACAAGTTCTCCATGTCGCGAAAGACGTGACGCAATAAGTGAAAATTTGCAATTTCGACTCCCCGATCGCTGACCACCTGGACTAGGTGCGCCTTCACCTGGCGCACCTTGCCCAGCCATGGGTCGAGCAATTGCACTTGGGATCGGATCAATTTTTAGCTGCAACGATAAACTTGTGCGAAAAATTTGGAACTAACCAACTTGATGAATCTATGCTACTCCAACTCTTCAATTCGATCAACCAAAACTTAATTGACAATGGAATGGCCATGGGTAATCATCAAATTGCATCAACTAAAGCTCCAACAACTGGATTTGCCCCCCATTTGATCTATATTATTATCTCACTAAAATGAAAAATATGATCGTTATCAATCACATCAACATGTAAATTCAAATTTTTTATCTCTTGTGTGGGCCCCAATAACGGCTATATTTTTCATTCTCATTCTATAATAATTTGGCTCAAACATGGCTGATTTTGCCCCTTTACCTTTTATTATTTGAACTTGATGTTGCAAGTGATTAAAGCTCTTGGACTTTCATTACCGATATGTCTTGTTTCTAGTGAAAGAGGTTGTTAAGCAACAAATTGATAATGGTATCTTGTTGAATGATAATGGTAGCTACATTTTAGGGACTAAAATGTAAAAATGTTTGTCTGTTAACCCTAAAATGTAAAAATGTTTGTCTGTTAACTAAGGCTATTTTTGTCTTTTTTTTTTATTTCGTTATTTTGAGTGTTTGTCACTTTTTTTTTTTATTTGTATCACTTTTTTTAAAAATATTTGTCACTTTTTGAGTGTTTGTCACTTTTTTTTATTGTCTGTCACTTTTTTTAATTTGTATAACTTCTTTTAATTTGTGTCACTTTTTTGAATTCGCCACTTTTTTTTAATGTTTTCAATTTTTATAGTGTTTATCACTTTTTTTAGTCACCTTGATTTCTATCACTTGTTTTAGAGACAAATATCAATTTTTAATAAATGTGACATTGAATGTCATTTTTTAATAAAAAAGTGACACTCAACTTTAAAAAGTGACAACGAGTCACTTTTTCAGTGTCAATTTTTTTGATTTTACACAATATTTTTTATTTGCAAAATATGTTTCATATGATTTTTCAACACACCCTTAATTTTAAAGGTATTTTTGTAAGTTGTCCAAATTATAATGAACAAGGGCCCATAAGTAGAAAGCCCATGGGGGCGTGATTTGAGCCCAAATAAGTCCCCCAAGTTGATACCTGTGTCAGATGGCGGGAAAACAAAAACCTAAACCAAATCCTGACCAAGACTATCGTGCACCTCAGAGAGAGATGGCGGAGGCGGAGAAAGAGACGGCGGTGACTGACAAGGTGGCGGGGGTCGCAGAAGAGCTGCCGAAGGCTATCGTGCGCCGGCTGGTAAAGGATAAGCTATCCCAGCTCTCAGATTCCGAAATCTCAGTTTTCCGCGAGGCACTTGAAGCCTTCTCTGACAGCGCTCGTATCTTCGTCCACTATCTCTCCGCCACGTAAGAAGATAACCACAAGTGCCCCTAATTTTTATCTACACGTTTTATTTTGTTTTAAGTGTGTCGATGTTATTATTTTCTTTTTTTCACGCTGTCTCTGTTTTTGTTTAATTGTGAGTTCATAATTTGGCATAAGAAAATGGGTTTCTTTTGTTCAATTTCCGGGATTTATTTCTATTTCTTCCGTTCTTGGTTTTCATGATGTATTTGTTAATAATACATAATTATCCATTCTGCGCTTAGTAGATCGAAGTACTTAGCTCTGCTTTCTTGGGTTCATTTTTTCTTGTTTCTTGACCTTTATGTTAATGGTCGTTTTTTTTATTGTCTATCTGAATTATGCGACCCTTACTCTTATTATGTTAAGAGGTTACATTAAAAAGCTCATTATTAGTTTTTCTGAAATTACATTCTTCTTTTAGGATTTTTTTCAATAATGACGAGAGTGTATTATGTATATAGAGTCTAATGTGAAATGATGGCATTATCCTATATTGTTTCTACGTGTTTAATAACAATTCCAGAATTTTAGGTCAAACTAGCTTTTTATGTGACAAGAATTCTGAAGTAGTTTTAACGATTAGTTTATTTATTTCTCGAATTAAGTTGAAATGTTTTAGGATTAAATGGTTATTGTTAACAATACTATTTTGTGAATATTTGCAGTGCAAATGACATTTGTAAGGAGTCAAAGAGACAAACAATCAACGCAGAAGATGTATTTAAGGCACTGGAAGAGATAGAGTTTTCAGATTACGTTGGGCCACTAAGAGCATCTCTTGAAGGTCACTTATACCATACTAACATTTGCAAAAGCTTTCTGTTTATCTCGGTTGATCTTCCTGTTGACATAGTGGCGTGTTCGGTAAAGATTAAAATCGGATTAAAATTGAAAAACTAGCCGTTATTGTTGACTTTTATTAGAGGAGTGAGATCCAATAACGGCTATATTTTCAATTTTAATTGGATTAAAATCCCTCCTAAACAAGCTCATAGTGAATTCTCCATCTCTACCCTGGTTTTCCATGTAAACCTTGTGTTTTTGTGATTGTTGTTATTTTCATCTTATCCATTTTCTTGTCTTTAAATTGGCTCAATTTCTAACAAGTCATATCAACATATGTACCATCCGAGTTAGATTGTTAACTAGTGGTATCAGAGCACATATCAGTCGGATTAGATTGTTAACAAGTGGTATCAGAGCCAAAGATCAAAATTCTTGGCAGAGCCAATTTGGTTTTCGTATTAGAGTGAGATTTGATCAACTCCAAACGATGTCTGATTGTTTCGGGATGGCAAGTATGAAGTTTGAAATCTCGGTTTTAGATAGCAACACCAGATTTTATTTGTGACAAATTAAGATGCAAACAGTTTTCACCTAATTGGATTTGGATGATACTATGCTTGGGTTGGATAAGATGCCCTCGACTTTGACACTGGAGGATAAGCAATTTAAGGATTGAAAGAACCTATCACAGATATATCTTCATATTTAGAATCACATTCTTCAAGACGTGTTAGAATGAGAAAAGTGTCGCTGCACTATGGTTGACATTGGAGCAGTTATACATGACTCTAAGTCTAACTAGCAAACAGTATGTGAATCAACGTTTATATTCTCATTGCTTGATAGAAGGTGGATCTTTGGAATATCTTCTATTTGTATTCAAGAAAATTGTCGTTGACATGGAGATCATGGAGGTCAGTACGATAAAGAGAACTTAGGATTGATTTCATTATTTCGTTGTCAGCTTCATATATGACATTCATGGGTACCATATTGTATAGTCAAGATACACTCACCATTGATGAATTTTATGATGAGCTTTATTTTAAGGAGAAGATGAAACAGCTAGTCGTTGGATCTGAGGCTCAAGTAGAGGGTCATGTTGTTCATGAGAGAAATTTGGGTGGCCATGGAAGGGGCAGATTTAAATCTAATAATAGTGATAAAGTATGTTATTATTGCAAGAAAAAGGGGCACGTAAAGAATTATTTCTATAAGTGCAAAACGGGGATAAATCAGTTGTTACAGATCAGAAGAAAGAACTAGGTCATTCTCGTGAAACTAGTTTTGTAGGACATAACTGTAGTAATGGAGATCTCTTGGTTATTTCTAACGACGACTCCAAACCTAACGAGTATTGGATTCTTGATATGGATGTACTTATTATATGTGCCCTAATCGGAATTGGCTTATAACATATGAAACAATTGAGAAATTTGTTGCGGTAATGGAAAATAATACACCTTGTAATATAGTTGGTATGGTAAAGTCATAATTAAGATGTTTGATGAGAATATCAAGACATTTGATGTTGTGAGACATGTTTCAGATTTGAAAAGAAATATTATATCATTGAGTACTCTTGATTTAAAAGGGTTATACCGATGACGGTGGAGTTTAGAAATTCGACAAGGGTGTCGAATTGTGATGAAGGGGCAGAAAAGGTCCCAGTTATATGTCTTGTAAGGTTCTACGATCACGATTGGTGCAACTGTCACTAAATTAAGGAAAAGAGATATTAGACCAAATTAGAGATTTGTTGAGATTGATTTGGTTGCTTATGCGTTGACTTAGGTGGAGTTAGTTGTGATCGGGGTTGTATATGGTAATAATTCGAGCAAATTTGGTAACTTCGTTGAAGTTGGTTGTGAATTTGATGATTTTGTTGTTTGTAGTGATTCGGGGCAAATTTGGTGCCCAAAGTAATTCTGCTGGTAAACAATGCTAAGATTTAATTCACGGTTGTTAAGTTTGCCCTTAGGGGCTTTATGAAAGAGGTGGAGTGTGTTTTCTTTGGAGTGTTCTATTTGGAGAATTTTTTGGAGTTAGTTGAAGAGTTAAATTTTATTCGTTCTATTGAAATTCGTATCAAGGTGGAATTTGTTAGAGTTTCATTGTGATCCAAAGTCTTGTTAAGTATTTGATTGGAAATACTTTTGGAACTATATGTGGAGTTGGTTGTTTGTTTTGGAGAAGTCTTGAAGAAGTGAAAACTTTTGGAGAAGTCTTGAAGAAATAGAAAACTACAAGGAGTCAAAGAAAACAAAAAATTGGGCAAAGAATTTGTTAGGACAGAGATATGACACCCAAGCATCGAGATCCAGGCTTATAGGTGCCATTCTGAGCATTATAGAGTTTTTTGTCTCGAGATGGAGCGCCTGAGCTCTAGGCCTGCATCACCTGAATGTTGCCTCCGTGGTTCGCTAGCTGCGAGGATTCTCACTTGAGCACTGGTCACTTACTGGGCACCAACTTTTTCGCTTAAGTGGCAATGTTATTCGGAGAAATTAGGGTTTCGCAATTTTGACAGTTTTTTGGACTCCTATTCAACTTCAAATATTCAATTATTGGGTTTACCCATTATATTGAGACTTCGTCTTACATTAAATTCTTCATGTATTAATTCTCCTAATATGTTAGAGATTGTTATATTATAATATATGGTGTATTACACATATTTGTTGCGAGAGTGAGAAGATAATAAAAGAGATGATCTTGTTTATAGAGAGAGACTCGGAAATAGTGATATCTAGGAGAGAGTTTTGTGAGATCAAGTCTAACATATTGTAACTCCTTATTTTTGATATAGTAAATTTTCCATCCTAGGTCATGATTTTTCACGCAAGTCCTGTGTTCTTGTAATTGTTTTTATTTTCATCTTATCCATTATCCGGTCTTTAAATTGACTCAATTTTTAACAAGTGATATTAGCGCACGTACCATCCCAGTTAGATTGTTAACAAGTGATATCAGAGAGCGTAGCATTGATTAGATTGTTAATGGTAACATATGATTCATTATCTGCATACAGATAATAATATTAAAAAAATGTATTTATTCATTACAATGAAATGATATAAAACAACTAATAAAAGAAAATGAATAGAAAGATCAAATACGATAATATCTTTTATAACTTTCTCTAAATTAGTCAATATTTCTATCTCATTCAAATATTGACAAATTATTGTAAGTTCCTTGTTACTTTGTAACTAACTCTTAGTGCAAATCACTGCATCGACCATTTTTGCATGCAATGAACACATAATGGAATCAAGAATTCGACTACTATTTGAACTGTAGACTCAAAAGCAACTGTGGAAATTTGAATAACTAATAGGTTTTCAGCAATTTGGGAGACAAATTTGTACTTCTTTGCATTCAATTTTCATGTCGAAAGGTTCGTTGGTCAAATATTCGCAACAATCATTTATGTAATCCACCAAACCATTCTAATGATTAATAGTAGATTCTAGGAACTAAATTAAAAAATAAATAGTAAATTGAGTGACATGATCAGGTAATTGAGTGACGTGATCAAGAAATTGAGACTCAAATTAACAAAAAATATTATTTAGTTAAAAATCTAAGGGAGCCCAACATAAAATAGAACAAACAACACATCTATCAATAAAAATATAACAAAAAATTACAAAAAATGTTAAAAAAAAAGGGTAAACTAACCTAAATTTTGAGCCAAAACTCAAGAAAATTATTAGTCGAAGGAAAAAATGGCGTGGACCCAAATCAACGATTTGAAAAAGCGTTTTCGATTTGATTTTATGGTTTGCCCATTTTGTTGTTCTATCCTAGTATAAATACCAGCTAAAGTCAAAATAGTATCAACATATTTCATAAGATCACAATGCTATTAATTTACCAATCATTTTTTTATTTATAAAATACTTACCAAATATATGATAAGTCAATGCCTAAGCAAAGTCAACATCAAATTTTTAGGAACGCTGACTTTGTAATGGAGAATTGCTCATTAATTAAACAAATTGAATCTAATTTTTAATTAAGAGTAATTATTAGTTATCCTAAGCTTTTAATTTAGAAGCTCTTTAATATTGTTTCGGTACAATATAAGACGTTCGAAAATTTAATTTTCATTTTCACTTTCCATTTTCTTGCCGACATTCGAGATTTAAAATTATATAATGAATAAAAAGAATGTGATTAAATATAGACAACATGTTTACTTATTTTTGTGTAATTTTGTTTAAGTGCATTAATACCAAAAATTGACAGTCCAAACAGGATCTTTACTTATTCAGTAGGAATTGCGTACACGTTATCGCTTGTTGGGATCGTATCTTCAGCGGTAGATTTTCCTGTTAATCACTTGAATTTCTGAATTTAGCTTGTGTTTGAATATATTTTTGAAGAAATTTTGGAATAGTAATTGATGTGAGAATGTCAGGTGGAAAAGTGATGAAAAGTTTTTGATTTGTGTGTAATATTATTTTATTTGGAGAATGTGTGGTTGAAATGAAGAATGAGAATGAGAAATTAATGGGTGCCAAATGGGGGCTTGGCGATAAGAATAAAGCGTATATCGATAAAACCATATCACAGACGTTTTCATTGTGGCCAGGATCAGGAAAAAATTTAGGCTAAAGTTGCTAAATTGCACATTTTGTCCCCAACTGTTGCTTAAAGCAGCAATTATTGTTGAAACAAATATACTATTGCAGAATATAATAATTTTATTTATACTGAAAAGAACGAAATGGTAATAAATTGCAATAAAATAATTTTACTTATTCTGGAAAAAAAACTGCGATAATAATCAAATCGATAAAGGGTAAATATTTAGCAAATCGATACCTATGTATTACACAGTGTCCTTAAAATAGATTCTTCTTCTTACCGTAAGTGCTTGAGGATTCTTGCAAGAGTCCGTCTCTCAATATACAACGGTAAATCAGTTAAATCGAGTACTTCATTTTTACTCCGATGAACTGAATTTTTATCAGAACACTATTACCAAGACTTAGATGAAATTGAAAAATTTCAAGCAAATGGTAATGGGAACAGGAGATATTTTCGAGCAGACAAGAAAATGAAAACAATATGGAATTCCATGTGTTTGGAATAAGGGAAAACTAGCTGTATAAGTAGGCTCCAATGAAGAATTAATAGGTNTAAGTAGGCTCCAATGAAGAATTAATAGGTTGAGAGTTATTGGTGTTATAACCTTTAATACCACCATAAAGCCATAATAAATCTCTCTATTAACAAAAATATTATCATATGAGTTTCAGGAGTTGAGGGAATTTGGAAAGTTTTATTTGGAGAAAATAATAAAAATTTATAGGAAATAAAAGCAAAACGTGGACCATTCAAGGGGGCCAAATTTTGATCGTCGTGTACGTAGGTCGCGCTCACACAGAAGTTCAAGGTCCGAAACTCAATTTCGATCTTTGATTTGCACCACCTATGTGTGCGTACTTAGAGAGAGTTTCTATGTCACACATGATTACTTACTTCTAAAGTGTAATCATATATAAAGTGGTCATAAACTTTATCATTTTTCTGTGTTGGACAACTTAAATTAGTTTTCCTCCAACAAAACAAAATATCTTCCAATTCATCATTTTGAATTTTAATTTCTCATTCACCCGCTTATCCTTTTTGGCAAATAAATGTATGATTTCTATGTCCTTACGGAGGAGAATGCAAATCAACCTTAATCTTCCAAAATGAACGAACTGATCTCACTCAAAATTATGCCATAAGTAGCCCACTAAGTCAATTTTTCCAACAATCCACCACATAAATGAAATTTGGGAGTGTCAAGGAAATAAAAGACATAAGGATTTTGTGAGAACGGTTGAAACCTGCATAAGATATGTAAGTATTACCCTTTGAACCTTCCCTTGTGAAAATATATTTTCTTTACTAACTGCCTAGTAGACACGATATCTTTGAACTATTCTGTATTTTATATAAATGATAATATACTCCACACATGCTTTTTCCTAACACAATTCAGTTCTCATTATCATGCATATGTTCATGGCGAAAAACGAACATGATAATGAGAACTGAATTGTGTTAGGAAGAATCATGTGTGGAATATATCATCGTTTACAAACACAATTCAGTTCTCATTATTATATTCATTTATGGCCTTGAACATACGCCTGATTTTGCGAGAGTTTCTAAGAATTGAGCCACATACAATTCTCTTAGAAGTAGTCACACTTCTCTCTCACATAAGTGATTTCTAATTACAAGTAACCCGTATTACTTCCCTTGATTTTCGACACATAAGAATCATTAAAAACCTATTGTTTATCCTTCATCCTTACTGGTATTAATGTTACATCATAGGAATTGACATGAAATAATATCTCCCACAATAATTCAATTAAGTCTTTACAATTAGATTATCCCTTTGAATCTAGATCTCGGGATCTCCAGTCAACTAAGTTGAGTTTCCTTTGTATTAACTCATTTGTTCAAGGGCTTAATCCCATTTATTTCGATGCTTTTCTAACTCACTCTTTATTTAACCATTTGGTTAGCAGATCCGTAATGTTATCCTTTGACCTTATATAATCAATAGAGATAACTCCAACTGAGAGTAGCCGTCTTATGATATTATGTCTGTGACGTATATGTCTAGAATTTCCATTTTTATACGTGTTATTCTGTTCCCTTCCAATCGCTAATTGACTATCACAATGTATGTAAATTTTTGACGGGTTTTGACCATCTTGGGATGTGCTCTAAGAAATTTCATAACCACTCAATCTCTTCACCACATTTATCTAGGGTTATAAACTCAGATTTCATGGTAGATTTGACTATACCTGTTTGTTTAGAGAAATTTTAGGATGTAGCTGAACCTCCCAATGTGAATACATATCTATTAGTAGACTTTGAGTCTTTTATATCATACATCCAATTAGCATCACTATATTCTTCAATGACTGCTGGATATTTGGTATAGTGCAGTCCATAGCTACGAGTATATTTTAAGTACCTAAGTACTTTTACTATTCTTCTCTAATAGTCAGCTCCTGGATTACTCGTGTATCTATTCAATTTACTGATTGTGTAGCTGATGTTTGGTCTTGTACAACTTATCAAGTATATCAGATTTTCAATAATTCTCGAATACTTTACTTGAGAGACATTTTCACCTTTATTTTTAGATAGAAGCCGACTTATATCTATCGGTGTTCTAGTCATGCTAGAATCATACTTGTTGAACTTTTTCAGAATTTTGTCCACATAATGTGACAAACTTAGAACGAGTCCATCTAATATTCTTGTGGTTTTAACTCCAAGTATCACATCAGCTAAACCAATACTTTTCAGACAAATCTTGAATTTAATATATTTTTAGTGAATTTAATCATCTTATC